AGAATCCAGAGAACAGAAAGCCCTTGCGGGAGAATGTCTTTGTGGGATGTGTTGCGGCTGGCCCCGGTTCCTCTCTGTGCTGGTTGCAGATAACCTTGATCTCAGCCGGGGTTTTAATGGAGGTAGGCTGGTAATGGAGAGGAAAATAACTTCTCTCCCCCCCCCCCCTGCTGTTTCCTATTAGCTGTGCATGAGGTTTTGTTACTCTCCGATGTTTACTTAAAAGAGATCATAAATGTTAGCTGGAGACCAAAGCTAGCAAGAATGGCAGCCACAAGATAACGAAGAGCCGGGATTAGACATCTGAGCAAAACAGTTTACCTAGGCCCAGAGGCCAGTGCACACAGCAGCCAGCACCGTCCACTGCAAGGTGTACCAGGACAGCACTGGGGACGCGAAGCCTTTTCCCTCTCGCTGTGAGGGCTACCCATGGTTCCTTTTTGCTGGTGTGTGATAAACCTGTGAGTGGAGACCGTAGACCCAAAGGCAAAATTACAAGTGGCCTGCAAAGTGCAACCCTATAAAGCTGCCCATTCTTGAGCATCTACCACCCAGCACAGTCAGGCCTGGAGGCGCTACATGCCGTCTCCTGCCACTCTCCTGGCACTGTGAAAGGCAGGCCGACCTCCAGCTTACAGGCCAGAGATCTCAGAGAGGTTAGGGTGTCTCTCCAAAGTCACTGCGTTGGTCTGCAACAGACACCAGGTGCTGATGGATTTCACGTTTGTCTCTCTACCCTGTAAACAGGGAGCCTAGGTACCGGCATAGATGCTGAGAGGCAGGAAGACAACCTCTGCTAGGTTCCGATTTGTGTATCCCTGACCCAATCCATACACTGAATCCCTAACCTCAGTGTGACTGTATATGGATACCAGGCTTTTGTGGAGGTAGGGTGGACTAACATGGAATAAGGGTACGTCTTAGGTAGGGTTTCTATTGCTGTGAAGAGACACCATGACCACGGCAACTCTTATAAAGAAAAACACTTAACTGGGGCTGGCTTAGAGTTCAGAGGTTTAGTCCATTACTGTCGTGGTGGGAAGCAAGGAGGCACACAGGCAGGCATGGAGCTGGAGAAGGAGCAGAGAGTTCTACACTCTGATTCACAGGCAGCCGGCAGATACAGGGACACTGGGCCTGGCTTGAGCATTTGAAACCTCAAGGCTCACTCCCTCTGACACACTTCTTCCAGCAAGGCCACCCCTCCTAACAGTGCCATTCCCTGTGAGCCTATGGGGGCCATTTCAGTCAAAGCGCCACAGGGTGGCTGGGTCCAACAGGACCAGTGTCTTCACAAGAAGAGACACCAGGAGACACCAGAGAGTTTTGTATGGTCTCTGAGAGGAACACAAAGCAGAGATGGCATGAAGGCACTGAGGGAGGGCCACCGGCGGGCCGGGAAGACAGCCCTAACAGGAAGCTGCTGTCTCTGAGCAGCGGATGCTCAGGCTCAAACACACACCAAGGTTGCTTACTTGCTGTCTCCCTGGCATGGCCTTGGGCTGCAGCTGTGTGCATCCAGATGCTGCAGGGAAAGCATGCACGTCACCTCGAAGTCTCAGATCATGAAGCAGCCTGCAACAGGAGTCTATCCACTGCCATGCCTACGGGATGCTCTTTTTTATCTTATTTGGTTCCATGGCTGTGTATTAATTGTTTTTTCTCTTCTATTTGCATATATTAATTACATATGATAAAGGCTTTCTTAGGAGTTTTCAAGAATACGCTATAATGCATTTTGATCAATCCACCTCCTGTCACCCTGTCTTGTCCCCCACCCATTCCTGCTGCCCCATTTCTTCTATCCAGATACTCCCCTTTCCTATTTTCATGAGGGTGTGTGTTTTTTCTTTTGGGGTTTTCTTTTTGGTTTGGTTTGGTTTGGGTGGCCAATTGTATTTTTTTTCTTTTTTCCATGTGCATGTGTGTGAGGCACATATGCATCTGTGTATTCATCTTCACAGGTGTGTGTAGGGGCCATGCCCAAAGTTGACGTCAGAGGTCTTCCTCCATTGTTCTCCACTTTCAGTGAGGCAGGGACCCTCTTCGAACCCAGACAATTCCTGGCTAGTCCTGACTTGTCCCCGGGGATTCCCCTTGTCTCTGCCTCCAGAGTTCTGAGGTTACAGGTGGCCACCACACTTGCCCAACGTTACCTCTGGGGGAGATCCAAACTCGGGACACAAACTTGTGCAAGGAGTGCTTTATCCACTGATCCACCTCCCCAGCCTCCTCTCCCCGCTGTGTTTTGTTAGGGTTTCTTACAAGATCCTGGCGAGGGATTGTTTACAAAAGCATAGGTCTCTATGGATGGTATTCCACTGAAGAATTTGTTTCTCCCTCCCTAGCAATCATTTCAACTGCCCATTTAGACTCAGGGAGGGGTGGGGCTTCACAAGCCCTTCCTGCCTAGCTACCATTATCTACTTAGAACTTCTCAGGGAGGGGTTCAGGCCTCATGGGCCCCTTTCCTCATTCCCACCCCCACATCAAGTTACTGACATGCCTACTCGGTGCTAGTGAGACCTACTCTGTGCTAGTAAACAGACCCACTGTAAGATCCAGAAAGCAGCAGTACTACCTAGCTCCTAAGACAGCATCCCACCTCACTCCACCCCTTCCCTCACTTCTTACATCCTTCTTGTCCCCTCTTCAGTGATGTCCCGGAGCCTTGGTAGAGGTGATGTAGACGCCCAAAGAGTTCCCCAAGCTAGAGATGGCTGAGATCATCCAAGCCCAGGCAATGCAGACATCTCCTTCCTGAGGTGGCTTGAGCACCATTGAGGGCGGGTGTGCCGTCACCAGGCACCATTCCCTGGTTCCTGGCTGGAGCACCAAGGTCAATCCCTGGTGCAGTGGTTGGAGGGCCCCTTCAATAAGACCGCTAGTGATGCAGTTTCTGTGGGAGATTCCTTGGAAGAGACACTCAAGACTGGCCTCTTTAAGCAAGGTCTAAGGGGCCTCCACAGCCAGCACCGTGAGCAAAGGGCTTTCACTAAGCACACTTCAGATAACGTGTCATGGACAGGGAAGTCTCCCCCTTCCCCTCAGGTTTACTGTCTCAGATGTGACACCTCCATTCTCCATGTTGGTTTTCACTCCACTAAATAATCAGGAACACCATCAATTGTGGAGACCCACAGAGGTTTCCTACTGAGATCTGAGCTTGCTTTACCCAGCGGGGCTGCAGTAGAGGATTGCTTGACCATGTGCGTGTTTTGCCAGATGTTTGGAAAGGGTCTGCACTTGGCTGTGCTATGGGAAGGTCTTTTGCTCCTCCCCTTGGTATTCCAATAAAAATCCCTTTTGAAGAGACAGAAGAGGCCAGTGGATATTGATCCAGGCCTTCCTGGGGCTGTCAATATTTCTCCCTCCTCCCTCAAGAGTACCCTGGGGAAAAAGTGGGAGCGGCCTCCCACGGAGAAATGGGTAGACCTCCCACAATCAATTCCTTCCCTCTTTTTCTGATCCTAACCACCAGCAAGTTCTGTTGGCATTGCCTCCAAAATATATCCCGAACCTTCCCAACACCCCCCCAACTACTACTGTCCTAGTGCAAGCCGCTTTTACTCCCAGCCAAGTCACTCAGCAAAGTCCCGTTTACCTGCTGCTGCCCTACAGATAAATGGTGCAGCCTCCATAGAACAGGCGGAGGAATCTTTGCAATCACAGACAGGATGTTGTCACTCCTCCATTTAAAACTGCAGTGTCTGTCTGTCACACAAAGAACAAAATTTAACCCCCTTTCCTTAACCACAGGTACTGCGGCGTCCAACCCTTTGCTACACAAAGTATAGCCAGAGTACCATTACAGGGAGCTATGTAGAAAGAAAGACACCGCCCCAGGCCGCCTCATAAGCCTAGAGAACTAGATTCTGTGTTTTGGTGAGACCCCAAAATGGCTGATGCGCACGGGAGTTTGGAAAGCATTGATAGCGCCCACCTCCATGTTCCTCCCCAGTCCCGACCCCGGATGCTCCACTTCACTTGTCCTAGCTGGTCACTTGTCCTAGCTGGTCACTTGTCCTAGCTGGTCACTTGTCCTAGCTGGTCCCCAACAGGCCAAGCACTTCCAGCTCTGTGCTCTTTTACTTAAAACCCTCCCTCCCTCTGCGACCTTTGCATGTTGACTCCGTGTCCCAATTCTGGTCTTTTCTCTGTTACCCCCTCAAGACTTCTCTGGGTACCCCAAACGGCTCCCCACTCTCCTATCTAAGGCACACACTGTCCTCTCTTCCTGCTTTATCCTCTTAATGGTGTCTACAAGTTTCTGGATTTTTATTTATGTATGCATTGCCTATTTTGCAAATAGGATATAAACTCCATATGGAAATGGTTTTGTTCACTGTTATAATCCGGGTGCTTTAGAGCGTGCGGAGGTTACGGTAGGTACTGGATATTCTCTGAGTGAACCAGTGAGTGAAAAGATGAGATCATCAGGGAGCGTGCATCTCCTTACTACTGAAACGGGCCGCTTTATCAGAAGTCAGCAACTCTGCAGAGACAACTCCAGCTTGCGCTACAACCAAGGCTCTCTGCAAACACAGACCGAGGCGCCTCCGCCACCACTGCACACTTCTTCCCTCTCTCAGTTCAATAAAGTACACACCCAAACAGGCTGTAAGTTTGAAGAACCACCATAATTGGGAGGAAGAATCCTGAGCAAACATTTACATATTGAGCTTCTACATTTCTCAACAAAATCTCCACCTTCTCATCCAGCCTAGATATCGATCTCGGGTCACAGCTTAAGTTTTTTCATCTTTAACAATTACCTTCTTTATTATTTGAGCAGCCATAGAGTTGAAAATAATAGAGATATAAAAGGCATATAAATTTAAAAAAAAAATCTCCTCCTGGTTGCCTTCCCCGATTACACCCAATGCTACCCAGTTCTCAGAGAGACAGATGTTCCACAGAAGCACCTGTGTACGTACGCATATGGTTTTATTCATTTTCTTACACAAACTTACAGAATACTGTAAGTCCACATCTGCATCTTAAGTTTCTTTTACTTTACGAGTTAACATGAAAGCCACTCAAAATCAGTAATAAAGAACAGTCGCCTTTTTAGCAGGTGTCGTGGTTTTTAATTGCATAGGTCTATCATGACTATTTACCAGTCAGTCCCCTTTGTCAAACACTGTTGATCGAAGGACTTTTCGGTTACAAACACAGCCTCAGCGAAAAGTCTTCGGTGGCATCTTCGTACGGCACTTACCGTCCACTGCACGAGGAGGGTGTCGGTGTGTTACACATCCTGTAGCCTTCCAAAGTCTTCCAGCCAGCCACCATTCTCCCCCTGTGTCCGTTTTCTTGTCATGTCACTGTTTCCTCTTGGCTTTCAGCCCCTCAGAGATGGGCCTGCTTTACCCAGCGCTGCCCACATCCCGGTTTGCACTGAGGAAGCATGCTGAGGGCTTCATCGCTCACGTACAGCTTCAAAGCCATGGTTAAAAAAAAAAAAAAAAAAAGCCAGCACGGTGAAGTGGGGAGCCTGAAGTGATGCACACCCTGCTATTGTCTTCTGTCTGCTGAGGGAGGGCCCAGATCGAATGCGGCTTCGCCCCTGATCTGTGACATTTGGGGAGAAACGTGAGCAGAGGAGGTTCTATAACAGGAAAGACCTACCTTCTCCTCAGAGAGGCCTGTGTTCTCAGAGCCTGGCGACAAGTGGATTGCAGCTGAATCAAATGAGTGGCATCCCTGGTTACTCTTCCCAGAAATGTATGGCTAACGTGTAATACAAACTAGAACCAGGCTTGAGTGCATCCCAACTATAAAAGCACAAATAACTCAAAGACCATTTGCTATAAAAGGACCAGCCTTAGGCAAGTAAAATGCCCCCGAGGGGGCCCCTGGCCAATACTACAGCACAGGGGGCTGAGGAACCAGAGTCCCTGAAATAGCAGCTTATACTTTCTCGATTCTTTTCAAGAAGGCAGAAAGCAATAACAACAGAAGTTCTTTGAGAACTTTGACTTTCCAGTCTTTTGACACTGCAACATGAGGTGGTCTACAAGTGCATTGGGCCACATTCGTAGCTCTCCTGGGGTACATGCAGCCTAGGAGAGGCAGCTTGGATCTGCTTTACACCTTCTCGTTTAATTAGCCAGCCTTTGGGTGGAGATTTCCATCCTCACTTCAGAGTTGAGAGCCAGAGACCTTCAGCTATATGTCCAGGATCACAGCTAATAAAAGCCAGGCCGGAAGGATCCCCAAGTCCTCATTTCTTAGACCAGAGCACACACACTCTCTCTCTCTCCTGCCACACTCCCTCCTACATTGTGATTAAACTGCTGAGCACTGAACTGGGAACCTAACTCCTGCTTTAGCATTATTTCTGCAGGAAGAGTAAGTGACCTGTGTCAAATAACTTATGTAGGAATCTGTAAAACCCGATCTGTTCATTCCTTTTATAAAGCTGCTATCTCCTGATGTTTCTATTTTGGGCAGTGCTGAGGATCAAACCCATGGCCTTGCACATGCTAGACAAGGGCTCTAGCAACATCTCTAGCCCTTTGCTGCCTCTTAACAACCTGTGGAGCACTGTGCCAATTAAGAGGAAGGATTCTGTGGATATTTATTGGATGTTAAGCCACTCTCCGTGTCTTGTCATGGTCCACAGCACTGTTGTCTTAGTCAGTGTTCTGTTGCTGTGAAGAGTCACCATGAGCACAGCAACTCTTGTAAAGGAAAGCATTGAATTGGAGTCTTTTCTACAGTTCAGAGGTTTTGTCCACTATCATCATGGCAGGGAACATGGCAGCGTGCAGGCAGACATGGTGCTGGAGAGGTAGCTGAGAGTTCTACATCCAGCTCAAAGGCAGCAGGAAGAAGAGTGTAGCTGAAGTTTTCCTGGTCCTGCCTGGCTCCCGTGGCCCTGTGGCCTCTTGGACCCAAGTAAACACAAGAGAGGCTTATATTAATTAAAATTGCTCGGCCATTAGCTCAGGCTAACTAATGACTAGTTCTTACACTTAAATTAACCCATAATTCTTATTTATGTTTAGCCACTTGGTTTAGTACCTTTTCTCAGTTCTGCCTTCACCTCTTGCTTCCTCTTTGTCTGGCTGGCGACTCCTGACTCAGCCTTCCTGTTCCCAGAATTCTCCTCTCTGCTTATCCTGCCTATGCTATACTTCCTGCCTGGCTACTGGCCAATCAGCATTTTATTTATCAACCAAACCAGAGCAACACACATTCACAGCATTCAGAAAGACATCCCCAACACTGGGCCTGACTTGAGAATTTGAACCTCAAAATCAACCCCCAGGGACACACTTCCTCCAACAATGCCACACCTCCTAATCCCTGCCAAGTAGCACAATTCCTAATGACCAAGTATTCAAATATATGAGCCTATGTGGGGCATCCCTATTCAAATCACCACAACCGTCTTACTACTCACTCAGACTCCCATTTGGAGTAGATCCTTACGAATCAAGGCATCTTTGTCAATTATGTATCACTGAGAGCATTTTCTTCTACAACTCCGTTGGCAGAAGCTTCTGCTGCAGACGGGGCCAGACACACAGTAAGTGCCGAAATGTCTGTCAACGAAAGAATGTGTAAATTAATGCATGTAGAATGTGGCTTACAAAAAGAACCACTCAACTTTGGCAAACCCATTTGCCCAGGGAATCAGGATTTGGAAACAGATCAATTTTTTAAAAGATAGTTTGACTCAATGAGCAATTTGCCAATACTATGGCGAACTGAAACAAGCTGGTGAATTTGGTCAATGGATGTGAATGAATCGGTTTAGTAGGTAAATTGGTCACATTTTTTTGAAAGCGCTCCTTGCGTAACACCTGGAACTTGATTCTAAAAGCAAGGATCCAGCCTGGACTCCCTCCGTGCCTGCATCCCTCAGATGGAGTATGTGTCGAGGCCCATCTATTTACGTTGCCCTCATGCCCGCCGAGGTGGCCCTTCTCTTCCCTTCCTGCCCCCCTCCTCCTCAAGCTACTGCCTCCTGTCTGGACAAATCAGCCTCTCCCTCAACTCTGGTATCCATCTCCATCATTCCTGTCAGGCCTACAGCTCCGGGCACAAACACTGAATATTCATGTGCTCTATGCTGGTGCTGCTTCTCACCCTGGTGGAGCCTCAGCCACCGTCTATGTCATGAATTATCTGGGACAAATAATTGCATAGAGGAAAACTGTATATTTCAATATAAAACTGTGTGGTCTAGAGGATACCCCCAAGCCATCTGATTCTTCCCTTGCTAAGCAGTATCTACAGATGGCACACTCTGCCACACTATCTATTTCCAGCTCGGATCATTGTCGAAGAGTTGTTGAAGAACATGTGTTAGGATGTCTATTCTTTGAATTCTCTTTTGAACTAGTTAGAACATTTGCCAGTTTCCTTCACTGCCTAAGTGAAGTCAAGTCTTTAATACATATTCATTGTAACTGCATGAGAATCATGATTTACTCTTTTTAAAACATTGTGATTTAACGCATTCTCTTCCCATAGCCTCCTTACATCGCACAGTGCCATAAAAGGCAGTGCCTGGGTGCTGTCCATGACAGCCAACATGCCTTAGCTCACTACTGTCTTTGACCAGTTGCTTCTGGCACTCATGGGTTTTTTTTGTTCTTACTTTTCATCATAGTGAAAACACATATCTTTGTGAATTGTTGAACCATTAGTTATTTTAACAATTTTATATGTAATTTAATATGTAAGTTCACAAAACTTACCCATTAAAGTCATGACTCTTGGTTTTCAACATATTCACAGAGTTGTGCAGCCACCACTACAACCAGCTCTATAAGATTCTCATTCACAGCCGGGCGGTGGTGGTGCACGCCTTTAATCCCAGCACTCGGGAGGCAGAGGCAGGTGGATCTCAGTGAGTTCAAGGCCAGCCTGGTCTACAGAGCAAGTTCCAGGAAAGGCACAGAACTACACAGAGAAACCCTGTCTCGAAAAACCAAAAAAAAAAAAAAACGATTCTCATTCACCCCAAAAGAAAGTCCTTTCTAAATCTCTCCTCTGAGAACACACTTACCACCACCTACCCAGTCCTTGGAAAGCACTAATCTACTTCCTGTCTCTAGGGAGCTCCTTATTATAGAGATGTCATACAAGGTGAATTATTCACGTCTTTAATTTAACATATTTTCAAAGTTAGTCCATGTTGTTATAAGTATGTGCCCCTCATTTCTTTTTATAACCAATTTAATCCCACTTATGGATATACTGCATTATTTAGTCACTAATCAATTGATGACTACTTGGGGTTTTCCACTATTTAGCCACTATGAGTAATGCTGATGTGGATATTCATACACAAATTTTTCTACAAATACTTTATTTCTCTTGGACATGTAGCTTCACTGCCAGGCTGCTTTCCAGGGTTACTGTTTATCTTTATTTTCACCACAAAAAAAACGAGGGTTCTAATTTATCCATGTCTTTGTCAACACTTGTGATTATCTGCCTTTTTTATTACAGTCATTTTGGAGGTTTGTTGTGACTGGTGTTTTACAGTTTACATGACCAATTGAGTTTTCTTCCAACCATGACTTGTAAGCACAATTTTTGAATGCCTTCTGGAACATTTTGGGAAGGAAGTTGAAGGTGTTCTGGCACTCTTTGTGGTCATCCATGCTAGTGTCTGTCTTCCTTCCTTCCTGGCTTTTCATGAAGATGCCACCCTTAGTGATTGCACAGACTGGACCCTCCTTACACTCAGTCATAGCTTTCTATTATTTTTCTATTATTTGATGCAGTAACTTTCACTAAGGCAGATTTACTTCTTGTCTTGGTTGAAGCGTTTCATGGATATTTTTCTTTCATGAGGACTTCCTTCAAAAGTGTTTTCCTATCTTCCAACATGACTAATAAACAAAATGACAGTAGTTTGGACACTGAGTGACCTAGCATATGTACTTGTTCGATTGGTTTCCTTGAGCCAGGGTCTTGTCTTGGATGATCTGGTACTAGATATGTAAACCATACATCACTTATGTGTACTGATAAATAAGATAGGAGGTCCTGGCAATCCTCCTGCCTTAGCCTCCAGAGAGCTCAATTTTCTGATGTGTGACACACACACTACACACACAAACACTACACACACGTGTACTACATATACACACATACTACATATTCACTACACACACACATACATATGTGAGAAACCAACAAAGAGCCAGTCTAACATAATTTAATACCTCTTATTTGTCAATGTTTAAAGCAATATATAAATTACCAAATTTTCCTTTGTTGATTCTGTCAGCATCCTAACATTATCAAAAGTTCTATCTAGAAGTTCATTCTCAAATTCTAGGCTATGATGGTCTCCAATGTCTCAGCTTCTTAAGTCACTGGGGGGTCAGTTGTCTCTGGTTTTCCTTCTTAGTATCAACAAGTCTCTCCACTCTCATAATGTTGGATTGTTTTAACAAAGGGCACACATCATTAGTGCCCAAGTCCCTTCATAGCTGAGTAGCCATACGTACAAAATGTATTTTCCCTACAGGTATATATGGACACACAATGTTAGAGTAAGACATTAGATTGGTGGGCTCTGTGGAAGATGAGCTCAAAGAAGATATAGCTTGCTCTAACTATCATGAGAAAACTGGGATGGAGCATCTAGCCAGTGACAAAAGTCACAGTCCATAATTTGCTACACTGCATGATGGCCGATGCTCTCAGGTATGGAAACACAAAATATGTGATGCAGACAAAACCATCGACAGTCCAATGGTATTGGTGAGGACTATGGTAATTACTGTACATATTTTCTACTTTTAACACTTTTTTAAAGATCTATTATTTATGCGTGTGTATATAGTGTGTGTGTGTGTGTGTGTGTGTGTGTGAGAGAGAGAGAGAGAGAGAGAGAGAGAGAGAGAGAGAGAGAGTTGTGTGTGTGCACATGTGAGTGCAAGTGTCTACAAAGGCCAGAAGGAGGCATCAGGTCCCTAGGAGACAGAGTCACAGGCAGTTGTGAGCTACTCAAAATGGGTGCTGGGAACAGAACTCCGATCCTCTGAAAGGGCAGCCAGTGCTCTTACCCACTGACCCTCCAGGACTACATTCGAAAACTTTTCTTTAAAACAAAATAAAACAAATTACACCCTTCAAATGTTCTGTCAAAATATTCCTCTTTTCAAAAGTTTCTGTCAAACACGAAGAACTAGGTAGCATGGGGTAAGACTCCCTTTGGCCCCTGCATGTAATGGTCCTTCTGTCCGTCCCTTTCCCTCGACTCTGATAATGAAGAGTGAGAGAGAAAGCTAACGAACAGAATGGCAGCCCCCACTGTCCCTTGAATTGATGTAAGGGTTAATTGACTTGCTTTGGTTTTTTACTCAGCCAGAACTGGAAAGTCCGTATTCCACGTTAAATTTATTTACTAGCTCTACAGAAATGGACCTAGCAATGGCCTTGGCCTGAAAAACTAGCTTCAATTAGAAACTACTTCCATTAAAAGGACCATGTCTCCTAAATGCAGTATGTTAGCTTTATGAAAATTAAACATGCACATATAAATTAACATTTATTTCCTCAAATGTGTAGTGAATATGCCAGTGATTCAAAAAAAAAAAACCATCTTCCCAACTAAAAATAGCAGCATCTCACTTACCGAAGCAGCAGAACGGTCTGAGAGCCGAGACAGGAACAATCTGGAGTGCGGAGACAGGCCTTCCACACCACTTCAAAGCCTGGGGAAGTCTACATTTTCATCCTCACGGTCGGTCAACAGGCTTATACAGAAAGAGTGGAATCACACTTCACGGTGGACTCGCCCTCAACCGAGAAAGCTTCGGGGTGGGCTGATAGCTCCGAACCGCTCAGATTTCTGAGAGCGGCTGCTTGGACCCTGGCACACTTAGAAAGCAGTGCTTCTACCACAGCTGTGCCTTGTCTAGTATCACGCTGAAGGCTTCCCAGGATGAAGATCCATGAGCTTTGAGACTTCAGCATCCATCCTTATTTCTATACATTATATTTTTTAAAGAAAGACTGTTTAAAATTTCTGTAGTGTATGTGTGTGTGTGTGTGTGTGTGTGTGTGTGTGTGTGTGTGTGTGTATTCATGTATATGCGTCCATGTGTTCAAGTGCCATGGAGGACATAGAGGGAGCTGGATTTCTGGAAACAGAGTTATAGACAGTTATAAGTCACCCAGTGTGGATTTCCTATGTATACGTTGAATTATATACATAATTCCTAACATAACAAATGTGATCCATCCTAAGATTCTCTTATCTCAGGGCTGGAGAGATGGCTCAGCTGTTAAGATCCCTTGCTGCTCTTGCAGAGGACCCAGGTTCAGTTTCCAGCACCCACATGGTGGCTCACAACCATCTCTAGCTCCAGTTCGAGGGGATCTGATATCCTCCCGGCCTCGGCAGGCCTGCACATGCATGGCACACTTACGTGCAATGGAGGCAAGACACATACACATAAAATAAACAGGTCTTAAAAGAGTCTTGTGTCTCATGCCTCGCTCCTCTTCCTCCGTGTAAGAGAGAGCAGCAGTGGCACCTTGCTGAGCTGTTGTGACAAGTAGGTGGCAAACTGCACGGGAAAGCCTGGTGTCCACCCCGTCTTGTACACCGGGCCACTCGAGTCTGTGTAACCTCAATTGGGAAATAGAGAACAGCACAGACTTCATAAAGTTCTGACACTGGACGCAGGAGACTAGGAGGAGACAGCTGACCAGAGGTGCCCTGTCCTTGACTCTGCCATGGATAGGAGCCAGGGAAGCAAAGGAAAAAGAACTCCAAGAAGAGCCCTGGGAGGAGCTGCTGAAACCAGCAAGTCAAGAGAGACCGCGTGAAGAGGCAGAAGGGCAGCCTAGAGAAGGAGCTTCAGCTAACCTCAGCAGTCCATCCTGCCAGGAAAGGCTAAGCGAAAAGGCCACAGGGAACCCGCATCCAAGCAGCCGAGTCAAGGGGTGTGCCCTGGTCCTCACGGGCCTTCCGTCCACTTTGGGGACTGTCTGGTCTAGGAGTGACAGCCCTGCTGTAAACAAGGAACTCACACTGTGCTGCTCCCATTCCCAAGAATCCAATCTGCAACGACAGCCACTGACAGACGTCACCTTACCTTAGGGGCCGGTGGCTGACCCTCTGATGTCATCAGAAGCCTTGGGGCCAGCACGTGCCTCACATGCAAAAGACATCCTTCGGCTTCCGGGACAAAGGCTACCATCACCATAAGCCTGAGTCACACCTGCCCTTGTCCATTTGGAAGTAAGTGTCATCCCCAGGCCTCAGTTGGAACTGTAGTGGCCAGTGAAAGTCCCAGTTTCACTTGTACTTATCCATCAGGAGCTAGGGAAAGTCCCAGTTGTGTCCCACAGCCTTAGGGTGGTAACTGTCAACACTGCAAGCTTCGGCCCATGAGTGATTTCTTCTGTACATTCCCACCCACGCCTTAAAATCCCAGGATCGTAGACGCCAAAGGCACAGGACACAGCACGACCCACCCCCAAGGACCCCTGTCAAGCCTTGAAGAATGAAGACGCTCTGGTGTAAGGTGGAATTTCTTCATAGAATTTCTATTCACCACCACCCCCTAGTGCCCTCTCCATGTCCTGGCCTCTCTGGCTGGCTACCTTCTCTCTCTCTCTCTCTCTCTCTCTCTCTCTCTCTCTCTCTCTCTCTCTCTGTGTGTGTGTGTTAGCCTCTTTCCCCATCTCCCTTAAGATCGCTTCCTACCTCTCATGAGCCCCTTTCTAATTTTATGACCTATACACATGTATAAATATACACTTCTATATACATGTACATATATAATTTTAACCCAGGTTCTGTACAGAAGAGAAAAGACTCCATATTTACCTGTGTCTGGTTTAACATGATGGAACTGCTGGCTGCCCTATTTGATTATTACAGATTATATACATGTATCAAGTTTCCATAATGTAACCCACAAAGGTGCAGATATCATGTTCCTAAGTGGCTAAACTAACACCCTGGTTGATATATTTGCTTTGATTTTGTTTGTAGTTTGGCTGTCTGGTATGAGAATCAAACCCAGTTCTTTAAACATCCTAGACAAAGTACCACTGAGCATATCCCCAGCCTCCAGAGCACACTTTACAATCCGCTCTTGTATCAGAGCCCCGAGTCACTTCAGTCAAAGCTACCTATGGCCACCTGGGTTCAGATCCCCAGGGTATAAACGTTCCCAACTTGTAAAAATTCAATGAAATATTGTCAAGATCAGTAGTTAGTAATCAACTTGATAAACCCTCTAAGCATAACTTTAAACAAGTTGTAAAAACAGGGCAAAAGCAATTAATTAATGCAAAGATTATTGTTTAAAGTTTTCAGAATATTTCATAGCTGTCACCGGAAATTAGTTAGGTTTTCTACTAAAACGAAGCATCATTCCATATTTATCACCATAGCCAAAGCTTAGGTGGGAGGTTAGAGAGGATGCAGTGGAAATAAGGTTTTGTGAATCACAAATCAGATTGCAGTTGATGAGGCACAAGCTGTGACTCAGGCGAGTGCCAGCATCACCACCAAGACCACGCCTGCACTTCTCATATGCGGCTCGTCAAAGCAATTGTGACAGGCAGATACCAGCTGATTGCCATAAATGGAGCCGGTATCAGATAAAAGTAAATCAGGATGCTCACGGAAGGAAAAGCAAATAAAGATCAAAACATTAATCTGCACCCTATCTGGAGAGTTATGAAAGCACGCTGCTAGAAAATGAAACATATATCTCAGCATGAAGGTTTTCAAGAAATAGTTTATGTCCCCAGAATACACGTTGTAACCAAAAATATTTTTCGGCAGCAATTTTCTCTAAAATAAGGAGATGACGTAGAAAGAGAGGAGGAGGAGGAGGGAGGAAGGAAGGGAGAGAGAATCCAGGAAGCGGAGACCCCGGATTCAGGAGGCAGGGACGGCAAACAGGCGATGCCTGACTCTGAAGGAAAGAGAATGCCTTCCCCACCACAGCCCTGCAGGCCGTGTCTCTAGAGCCACAAACGCTGTAACTGCAGCAAAGCCGGGCAGGAATCCCGAGAGTCTCCAGGACTCTGAACTCACTGTCCACAGTTCTCTTCTGCAGAGCAGGAGAGCCCGGGGTGAGCTACTGTCTTCACCCCTGTCCTCTCACACACCACACTCTTCGGGAGAAGGATTTCTTCACCTTGGGCCCAAATCCCAAGAATGTTCACTGTGAGCTGCTCCATGCCACAGGAAACCCATTTCCATATACACCTGATCAAACATTTCTTCTTTAAACATGCCTGAAATTGGGCCTTTCCTCCTCACAGTTATTCTAGTAGGTAGTCTTATTAACTGACCATACTGTTGGATTTTTCTCTATTATTTCATTTTCCAAAAAGTGGGAAAAATTGAGAGATGGTGATATTCTAGTATCAACTTTCTTTTAAAGGGAAAGAAAAAAAATGTTTTATTAAATTAGATTTTAAATGGCTAAATTCTACCTCCTTTAAAAAACAAAAACAAAACAACAACAACAACAAAAACCTTTTTGTTTTTAAACATCCTGCTTGCGCTGGTCCAATCTGGTGATCCCTTCTGCTGTTCTCAACATCCAGCCTAGCCCGAGGTACACATCCTGTGCTCTGGTCCAGAAAGATGATAGATAAGTGTTGCTCTCGTCCCTCATCAAGGAAACTTCTTTTGGCGGCAGATGGGAACTATTCCAGAAAAACACCACTGGTCAAAACACGGAGGACTACTGAGTGCGGTGTGCCTAACCCCACTGGATCCATGTGCAATAGAAGCCCTGACCTAAGGTTCAGGGAACATGGCACTTGAGGGAGTGAAAAGACTCTAAGAGCCAGAGGCCCAGGACGTCTTCTGATACTGTTGTCTTCTACCCGTGACAGAGAAGCTGTGAAATCTCAACAGTACGGTTGCCTAAACAAGACCTAAACAAGGCTGACCCCAGCTGATGTGCTGACGTGACAAGATGGATGGGGAATCTCAAAGGGCCGCAGTCCTAGATGAAGAGCTACAGACAGTAATGACCGGTCAAAGAGGGAGGATTAGTCTTCTTCAGGGACAAACACCTCATTTGTTATCCAACCCCATGGTCAGCCCTAAAAACACATATATGCAGACGACACTGGATGAACCCAGCAGGTTGTATTTATGTGTTTATTTGTTCATATATAAAAAACAATATAATTAAAAGGGGCCATGAATTTTATGGGGAAGGGGAAACTATGAAAATACAATGCACATATATGAAATTTTTAAATAAAATAAAAATAAAAACAACTATTTTTCACAACTAAAATAAAAAATAAGTCTAAGGCCTATTTTTAAAGCATAAGCTTTATTAATTTGATGGTATAATCATTAAAATAAAATAAAGAAGGGACAAGATCATTCTTAAAGGCATTTACCAACTGTTACAAAATAGTTTTTAGTTAAAGTCTCAAGTTATTCTTCCCACTTACTCATTAAAAAAAAACTGTTACTGAATGCCTTCTTACAAACAGGCTCAACATCTTAACAGGCTTCACACTTACAGAGATGGGGTTAATCATATAATCACACTAAAGAAAAATTAGTTGTAATTAGTTTTGAGTGTATAGAAAAATCTGAAACCTGCATGTCCATAACTAACCTAAATCTTCCTGAAAGCTTTAAAAACCTTTCCAAACAGTTACTAACACACACGTATTGCTGTATAACTTTTTAACCTTTCAGTAAGAAAGTCACCGTCAAGGCAAGAAACCGTCGTAGTGATTTTTGGACAATAAAGAAAATAGAT